CGATCGACGACAATTTTCAGGAAGTCTAGTCGATGTGCATGTATAAAATAGCACCCCGTGATACTTCTCACTTGGGCGCAAGCGCCACGTGAAGATTCGAAAAACTGCGATACGCAATTCTCGCGTTACGTACCGGTGTCGTCTTGGGGAAAGAACACGGGGTTGCCGCAAAGCGCGTAATGAGTAGCTCGACGCGGGATCGTAGAGTTAAAAAGCGAATCAGGACGCGCGCGTTAGCCGGTGCGAATTCGCGCGAACTCGTCGACGCGTTTTACACGCTAATGCACGTTACGAGGAACGCTAACCAATCCTGCCAGCCGAGCGAGGCTCCTCAAAGCCTTCTCTCGACCGGGACGAGAAAAAAGTAGGTTCCACGCCGACGTCAAATTCAGCCGAGAGTCCCTTTCCTTCCGCAACACTTTCCGACTCGACAGGTTATTAGAAAAGGTTGTGAAACCGACGGAGAATGAGAACGTACGCAGAAGAGAGAGAAAGAGAGAGAGAGAGAGAGAGAGAGAGAGAGAGAGAAAGAGAGAAGAAGCTCGGCGTGTAAAAATTTAGCTACGCGGAATTTTACGCGTTTAGCTAGCTAGAAAAAGAAGAAGAGAAAATGAAATGTATAATTTCCCATGTTGAGATAACGACGCGTGAGTCTTCCCCAGCATTTTAACGTATGTATGTTGAATATAATCCTATTACCCTTAACATCAAACACAATCTTCTCGCTACAAAGCTTAGACTCGGAATCGGATGGCTCTATTTAAAGTTACCTTGCGCGTCAAACAAAACGAAAGACTGTATTAATTAATGCGTAATAATGAATATCCATCAAAGAGCAGAATATGAAAGTGTGTGAAAATTCTGAGAAAACGAGGTATAAAATATCAAGAAGCAGACGGGAAAACAGGAAAAATGTCAAAGGCGTAAATTAACTAGGGAATTCGCGTACGAAGGGATGGTTATATAAATTAAGCTCCAAAGTGCGGGAAAAATTCCGTCTGCGAGCTTCTAATTCTCTTATTCCGCTAAATATACTAGCTGCGTTTCTCCAAGAGAAGGAAGAGAGAGGGGGGGGGGAAAGAGGGATCCTAATTCGATATAAATCCAATTCCTCAGCATTACGAGTTTCGATTCCGCGGATTTCAGCGCTATCGATCTCAGTGGAGGGATTCTCTCTCTCCCTCTCTGAGAGAGAGAAAGAGAGAGAGAGAGAGAGAGAGAGAAATGCGCGTCAATTTGCGCGCAGATGTAACATTTTAAATTATAGTTTTCGAAGCTTCGCGTAGCGCGATGCTACGTAATTATACCGGGAGTGATTACGATATACAACGTGTTAATAGCGTCGAAGTAAAAAGCACCGTGCCGCACAATAGCCGGGTCTCTCTCTCTCCCTCCCTCCTCCCTCTCTCTCTCATTTCTGAAAATTGTCACTTTCGTATCGCATTATTATGAAAGCCGCGACATTCGACGTGACGTCAGATGTCGGGATGACGTTTGAAATTGCAGTGCCCGGTACGAGAGGGAACGCGCGCTATACGGGGGATTGCGAGAGATGTATCTTCCGTACGGCGCGACGGCGACGCGAGTGCACGACGCTGACGGCGTCGACGTCGCCGTCGCCGTCGCCGCCGCCGCCGCCGCTGCCGCTGCCGCTGCCGCTGCAAGTAGGTCAGCTGGACTCGTTGCGCGCGGCAGAAGCATAAGGCGCTGTCCGCGACCGCGACCGTTCGTTTCGCTGTTAGCCAGCCAGCCAGCAGCGCAGCTAGCGCAGGCGATTTCGCCTTAGGAGCAGTGCCACGTTTCACCGATCTCTCGATCTATCTCGTTCGAGATCGAGAATCGCCCTCTCCTTCGCTCCCCTCTCGAGAGAGAGAGAGCTTACGCAAAAATCGCGAGTAAACTGCTCGCGATATTTCGCTGTACGTATTGTACTTAAACCTCTTGTACTCTTTCGATTATTTCGTCGGATACTCGAGCGATTCTCTTTGAAGTAGGCAGTGCGAAGCCAGATGTGCGAGAGAACGCGGCGGCGAAAACAAGAACCCCGCTGGAAAGTTTAATTTCGTTAAAATTGGCTCCGCCGAAGTCTCCGCACGTTGTACAGAGAGAATATCCTCCAAAGAGAATGTTCTTTGCGCGAGGGAGAGAGAAAGAGAGAGAGAGA